TGATTTCAGTTTCCCATCATGCCCCCTTGGAAAGGAGTGGACATTTAAGTATTTCACAGGAATATGTAATACAAGAAATACGTATTTTTGACTGACCTTCGCCTGTATCTGTCGTACGCTAGTATTATTAGAGCAGTCAACCAGATAATAAGGACGGAGGATGGTATAGCGACGGCTAGCACTGCTTCACTTGATGAGATCTAGAATTGAATGGTATAGTCAGCAGGGGTGGACCCAGGGGAGGTGCTTTGGGTGCGGACGCTCCCCACTTTTGGGACGACGTATTTTTTTTATATATCAGTATAAACGTTTTTTTTCTGCTGTTTATACTCCTGTTGTACTTTTATGGAGAAAACGAGTAGCATACACAATATGTGTCTGAAGAAGAGGCTTTGCCGGGACACTGAGCAAATTGAGAGAACTCAGCCCTGCGCCTATAGTTCAAATGGTGCAGTCAAAATGCGTCGTATAGATTGGTATAAAACGTTTTGCTGCGCATCGTGACTAGTTGAAACCAGACTTGATCACTGTAAGCTTAAAGCGGATTTTGTATGACTGTGCAAARAACACGGTCCTTTCGCGTTGTGACCGTACCGTGCCGTAGCGRTGATGTMTTGTTAAATCTTTATTTTTATTTGGAATCCTASAAGGCGAGGTTCCGTGATCCGTGCCKTTGCACAGTCATACCAYAGTCGTCTCGCTTTGAGCACCTTTCAAGATGGCGCAGGAAATCRAAAACAMGAAACCAAACGTACCTGACGCACTGCAATCACATTTTKTATATTATTAGGATCGTAATAACATGGATACGTGGCGTTATCCTGAAAAATATAACTAGATTGTAAACATATAAAATATCTACTTGTTTGTGGGGCTAACTATGTATCTTCCATAAAATGACGTCCAAAACATTTTTGATATACTATATGAGATCACAGTGCAATATTTTACACAATGACACAGAATTCGGAGCGTTCCTTAATTTCCGATTCCAAGATCCTGGATTCTCCATGCAGACTTCATATGAAGAATTTCACGAGGATTCTGAATTCCACCATATTGGATTATTTCAGAATGCTAAGGATTCAGCATTTTTGTCGTCATTGACTCATTTAGAATTAAAAAACATTTGAATTCCGCCGGGATCCCTCTTTCATCTGATTCTGTTTCCATTGACGCGAATGCCGAATTCAGCATCATGAATCGAGATAATACAGTCTGATGTCACACAATAAATATTTAAAAAGAGACAAGAACTTACAATGCCATAAACATTTCTGTATTGCCTTAAACATTTAGTAATWTCAACYTCACTGTTCCAAGCACACTTTGTTCTTTTATTAAAGATACCGCTTCTACCTTGAGTGAACGAACACTGCAATACAATGAATATTACATGTAAAATAAAGTAAATCATTAGGAGTAGCCGATGAGGTCTGTTCTTCTAAATAACTGTTCTTGTACGATTTTTTTCCTGGGAAAGGTATTTTGAGCTACATTGTTGACAATCTCACAAGCAAATGTGGCGCCCTTCCTTCTTTAAAACAATTTTGTTCCTGAGAAACGTTTTTAAGGTTAAAAAAGGCTTATATAACGTTTTTATGGTCAAAAACGGCTTACATTTTTTTTAGTTAGGAAATTAGTATTTTCCTGGCAAAAATTCTTAGAAAGTATTCCTTGCCTGGAGAGTTCTTTTTCTGAATTTTTTTGCAGGCAACCAGTTGTTACTTACAGCTGGCTTCTCTCAGGAACCCATCGGCTTCTCCTATCATTCTAAAATCTTGTGCAGGGGGAGGGAGGAAGGGAGTGGGGGAGTTGTCTCTAGGACCAATCGCTGTACAGCCTTAT